GAAGAGGATTTCTGATTATTGATGGTTCGGGATTAAGAAAAGACAGAAAAAAAGAAAGGTACAAAAGAAGGTAGGTGGCGCTGTGTTCCCCGTTGTTAGCACAATTTATACAGTGCATGATTATCTTTTACGAATTCGATAAATCCTCCGCCCCCCACAACCTCCACCCTCTTTTTCACTGCCCAAATCTCTCTAAATCAAATAATCTAATCCCCAAACAAAATACTTTAAAAATGCTGCATGGCTCGGGCCCCGGGGTTGGGGGGAGAGGAGAGGAGACCCACTCCACTCCCCTCCACTCCCCTCCCCTCCCCTTCCCTTCCCTCCTAAAGAAAATTTATTTTCAAGTTATACCGTCGGCACAGACACTTGTCCGTAGAACAATGGACGAGAATTTGCTTTACAGCTACAACACGTACTCACGTAATTTTTAACCAAAACAGACAAAGACTTTCGTTATTAAAAATAGTTGATAATTATGTGTACGGATAATTAATATTAACTTAAGTTATGAGAATTAATTTTTATAAAAATTTAAATTAATAAATTAGTAAAATAAAAAAAAACTCCTAAAAGTGAAAAAATACCTCAATTAGGCTATAAAAATTTAAAAAATTAGTAGTAGTACTCCCTTTATTTATGTTTCCTATATACTTTTTAATTATGGTATATATAGCTTGTTATATATTTTTTATATTTATATTTAAAAAATTAAAAATTAAACTAATATAATTAAAAAATTATAAATAAATAAAATAAATAAAATTTTAATGTAATTAATAATTAAAACCTACTATTAATCACTATTTTTAAAATTTTGAAACCAACACCCCCCCTTTATATTTTACATCATCACGCGGAAATTAAAGAAAAGGAAGCGGGTTTTTCGGTACAAAAGCGGATGGAAGGACACGTGGCGAAGGGTTGACCGTTAGATGGAACAGTGAAGGTAACAACGGTTGATCGTTGGATTTTTGAGTTGACATCCATTGGGTTTGGGATGGAGAATGTAGTTTTAAAAGGAAAAGAAAGGACCAAAGAAGGGAAAGAGCAACTGTTTCGTGTTGATTTGTAGAGTGAGAAAAGAAAAAAGAAAATATATTACTAAACAAGTTTTTTTTGGTTTTTTGAGGTCTTAAATTGGGAGAGAGAAAGGCATGGCGGCGTTGCAGGGCCAGAGCTGTAATTCGTGTGTTGCGCCTTAAATGCTCTTACAGAGACAACAGCAGCAGCGCCAGCGGCGGAGCAAGGAAGAGAATTGAAAGCTGCCGCCCAACAGAAGCCGACGTGTGTCCCTTGTGTCTCTCTTCCCCACCAGCTTTTTTGGCAATTAGTCACCAACACCAAGACACTTCCAATCAATACAAAGATAGATACAAACAATCACATACTCAAAATCTCCCCCCTCATCAAAAGAAAAAAAAAAAAAAATCCAAAAAGTTTAAAATATTAAACGAGTAAGAATACCCATTTGGAAATTTGGGTTTGGAATCAAAGTTCCGAGAGGGGGAGGTTTTGATATGGATTTTTTGTTACAATTGGGGTACGGGAGAGGTTTAGAGGAAGAGCAATGGCGGGTTTCTTCTCATTAGGAGGAAGAGGAAGCAGTGGTCAAGGAGACGAACAAAACAACCCACCAACGGAAATCCCGCCGGAGAGTTGGCAGTTCTGGTACAAAAATGAGGAAATTACATACAAGAGTTTTGAGCTATGGCAGCAACAGGAACTCATCCAGCGCCATGCCCACGCAGCAGCGGAACAACAACAGCAACAAGATCTTTATTCATCAGCAGCTGGATTAGGAGTGGGGCCCAGCAGGAGCTCCATAAACTTATCGGATGATTCCTCGTCAAGATCGGGTTTTATGATGATGAGAAGCGGAGTAAGCGGAGGCAGCATGAGCTGCCAAGACTGCGGCAACCAAGCCAAGAAAGATTGCATCCACATGCGGTGCCGGACTTGCTGCAAGAGCCGAGGGCTCGACTGTCCCACCCATGTTAAAAGCACCTGGGTTCCTGCGGCCAAGCGGCGCGAGAGACAACAGCAACTCGCTGCTTTGCCGCAACACCAACATCATCAGCAGCCCAAAAGACAGCGAGAAAATCCCGCCACATCTTCCCTTGCCTGCACTCGCTTGCCCTCGTCAGGTAAACTACAGTTCCTGTTCTTTAAGTAGCATACATACTTTATAGTATCTGTGCCTGAAAAACTCAGAGTCTCGGATTTTCCTCCTTTATAAAAATTTGGAGAGAACTCTTCCATGATGAAAAAGAACGGAATATCGATTGCGTGGAATGAAATCGACCTCCTTAAACTTCATCATCAGCTTTCTTTTCCCTTTTCCTTTTAGAAGCACTGTTTTCCAGTAATACTGACCAGTGTTTTCACAGGGATGAACTGTTTCTTTTACCTCTGTGTGTGCTTAATTATTTGCATTTCTATGCCTTTTCTTTTTGTTCTTTCCTTCTCGTGAATACCAAACGGTTTTAAAAAAAAAAGGGGTGCATTTTTTTTAGTTCTTGTTTTGGTTTAGTTTGTCTAATCTTGATCTGATGGAATGGGTTTTGGTTTCTTTTTTTTTTTTTAGGGTTAGAAGTAGGGAATTTTCCGGCAGAGGTGAGTCATCCGGCTGTGTTTCGGTGCGTGAGGATGAGTGGTGTTGATGATGCTGACGACCAGTATGCGTATCAGACGGCGGTGAACATAGGAGGGCATGTGTTCAAGGGAATTCTCTACGATCATGGTCCGGAAGGGAACTATAGCGTGGGTGGTGGTGAGAGTTCTTCTGGTGGAGTTCAGCCCCTGAACCTTATTACAGCTGGTCCCACCACCACCACCGACACCGCCACATTGGCTGCTGCTGGTGTTGGCGGTACGGTTGCTTCCTCTTCATCAACCGTCGCGTTTCTAGACTCTTCGTCGTTATACCCAACTCCTCTCAACACTTTCATGGCTGGTACGCAGTTCTTCCCCAACCCGAGATCTTGAAACTTAGAAAAATGAAAAACCACATTTCCCCCCCTAGTCTTTGTCAACTTTAATGATATTTGATGCTAATGCAAACGTTCTACATTTGAATATGGAAATTTATATATTCTCATCTCCATCTTCTCAAGTATATGTGTTTCCTTATATGTGTGCTTTTTATTTTTTTGGGACTTCTAAGGGGTATGTTGAATTTCATCAATTTCGTTTTCTGGTTTGTTTTCAACTCTGGAGCTGCTTTTTGCCTTGTTACTCGTTCGTCTGCCGGTTTGAAATGGGACGAATATTGGTTTCTTCCTTGGTTAGACAAACTAGAAAGGCCTCATCCTTTTTTTCTTATCGCGGTATGGGCGGTCCAGCCATGCATGAACATTCAAGTTTAAAAGGTGGAAGGAAAAAAATTCGTCTCTCTTACTTACCATTCATGTTCATGTGATCATTTTTCTTAGTTAGAATTGACATCTTTAGATGTGACTTTGCTCATGAAAATGGGAAAAAATTCTTATCACCTGTCCCTTTGTTTAATGCACCTGCAACAAGTTAATTATAACATATTATTTTATTTTTGAACGGCAATGTTATTAATAGAAGGACAAGGGTACTCAAAACCATATATAATAAAAAGAAGAAGTTAAGATGCATATTATTATAATGTCTAAAGATAGCTAATTATGCATATTTGTATTTATGTGGGTATATATGGAAAATGATATAGACATATTCATCATTATAACTATTATTTATTTTGGTTGGCTTGCAAACTTCTCTCATTCATTTATTTACTCCGTTTAGATAATGATTCAAAATCAGAACCTTTTATTTTCGCTAGAGGAAGATTACTGCCAAGTTATTGAGTGGTTAGTAGAAAGGTTGTGAATTTTCCTTCATCTTACAACCTTCTCTTTGGAACTGGTAATGTTCAGAGTTCAGACTGTTTTTTCTTTTTCTCATTTTCCAATGAGAAAAATCTTAAAAAGGGGTTCTATTTTTGGGTTATATTATTTTCAAGACAGTTTCTGTTCTTATCATATATATCTTCTCCTTGACATGTTACATGGTACCTGTAGTGTCAGTTGTGTACCCTTTTCCTTTCTTCTATTGTTGATTTGGGTAACTCTGAAATTGATTTCTTCACTTAACAACAATCTAAGTAAACTATATTAATATTAAACAAAAAACAGAAGATGTAACCCATATTTGGAAACTTTGTTATGATTTATAGATATAGATGTCAAAAACAAAAATGCCTTAAAATATCTTTATTTAATGGGAACTACTGAAAAAATAGGAATGATAACTCAAAGGAGATAAGCACTTAGCTTTAATGATAAGAATTTGGCTTATCTAAAAGCCAAATATCTAATAAGAAACTGGAAAAGAATACGAAAGTATTACCTACTTATTTTACAAGTCCATGGGAGTAGAAGATTAGAACTTCTTAGGTAATGTGACTTGTTCATTATAGGGAGGCTATTTCACTGGCTCTCTGGGATCAATCTATAAAAGTTCGATAAGAGAATTTGATCCTGCTAATTCAAGTAAAAGTATCAATTATTTCTTCTTCTTTTTTCTTGGTTAGGAGATTCAGGAAAAGGATTGAGTTTCAAAACTCTTCTTTAGAGAAAGGTTATTAATGGGATAGAGTTATATGATCAAGTATGCATAATTTCTTTGCTGTTAAAAAAAGGAAAAAGAAAAAAAAGACAAAGTCTGCATAGAGAAAACATTATCTTAGATCATAGATTTAACTTTGTTGATATTGTGTTCATGGTTGTTGTAAAGAAAACTTTTCCTTGAATTAGCTAACCTTACTAATGCTTCCTTTTAAGGACTAGTACTTTATAACTTACGCAGAAGTAGAGACAAAAAATACTCTCTAGGGCTAATTTGTTAAACAAAGACTTAATAACTAGTAAGTGTGGATATTGTAAGAAACATTAAAAGTTTAGAAGAGAAAAAAATGATGTTATATTAAATGAAATCAATCACTCTTGTCAGCTGCATAAGTAATGTTTCTTTCATTTCAACAAATTATGCATTGTTTCATTATCTAGTTGTTTATGCACATTTTGAATTAGAAATGGAATCATTTATTATTACAGTAAAATTGAGCAAATTAACTCAGCAAGTGAAAACAATTTCCAAACATTGTGAAAATGAACTTTAATATTAAACAAAATCTATTGCTACAAATAAAGTGCGAGCCTAATAGGAACAATATGTTAAACAATATCTTTAGTAGTGACTATTATTGCCCTCTAAGATGATTGCATGTTTGAATGAGTTGTAGAACAAGGGTTTCAAACATTGAAACCAATATTAAGAATTCATGCAGCTGACTTAGGTTATTGAATTTCAACTATTAGCTAGCTTTTTAAAATAAATAAATAAATAAATAGTTGCATGCAAGTTCATTTTTATGCTTTTGACTAGCTGAATTCACTTGTCAAATTTCTGATTTTAAGAATAACAAGTGGAAATGGCTGTATGAGAAAAGAAGCAGAAATTAAAGAGGATAAGATTAAAAAATCTCTTTTCTACATGCCACATATAAGACTAACTATAAAATGCTTGCATGCATAAATGCATTTTAAATCATTTTAAAGTTGGATGTTTTCCACAGTTTATATGATTTTGATTAATTTATCCAACCATATCAGGGAAATTGCCCGTTGGACATTAACATGTATATAATCTTAGTCTTATACATCACAGTTTTACACTTGGTTTGAGTGCAACTAGAAAATAAATCAATCTACATATTTATAATGTCTTTTTCTCAGGCTTGTTTACTTAATTGTCTAGCTAACCTAGTTGAGTTATTAGCTTAGTTAGAAGCTAGGGGAACGTTAGTGAGAACCAATAATTTAGACTTGACATCGATTTGAATGATGCATGATCAATCATACACACACACACACACACACCAGACTGTAGGGGATTCCATGATTATTGTGTTTCATTCATCAAAATAAATAGTGAGGATGACTGGAATGAGAGGATACAAGCAGCATTCCTCTTTTATATGATGCAGAGTTGTGAATATAATGTTTGTTTTGGTTATGATTTCTTTCCAAAGATGGGAACCATATATTATTTAGTTTTTTGAGTAATCTTAAATTTAGAACATACTCTCTGAAGTCTGCGATTTGTGAACTATGTTATTTGTTATCCAACTATACATCTTGGTCTCGTTCAGTTTATGTTGGTAGCAGGAATTCTTAACATGATTTTGACTCTATAGGAGCTTTATTTATCAGATTTAGGTGGAACTATAGCATAATTACAAACTCGATTGGGTAGTTAGATCTAGAAAAATTTTCCACAATAGACCACTGTAAACCAGCTGTTCTATTATGTCTTGTATACCTAGAGAAGGACTTGACAAGTGAAGCCCAGGGAAAATAAGGTGAGAAAATTCTCACCTTCCCTAGGCAAAAAAGTATTGTTATTCCTTTACTATGTTTTTAATTGATTATGAACATGTGCCCATATTTCCCCTCCCAGAAATATTCTCTTTTTTAGGATTCTGAGGTTCAGTTTCACAAAGGGGTATGGTATTTTATTGAACCACTTAATAGGAAACACTAACTACTTGGGTGCATTCTCTACAATATTCAGTTTTGGTTATAGAGATTTCATAATCACCACCAAAACCCTAATTGATTAGTGTTATACTTCAAAACCTTGTACCAGAATTTAAGCATACATATTATGTGCATATATAAGTACCTTGTACGTATAACGTATATGCGTGGGCAATATATCAAGCTACATCGAGGCGTGGCCTAGCTTGATAGGAGCATATGCATTCCTGACAGTCTTGTGGCAAGATTTCCAAACGCGAGAACTCTCTCCAATGTATATTTTGCTTACCTAACCGTCGGCTGGAGACAGTAAGAATTAATTAACAATAGTAGCACTGCATCATTTTAAAGCAAATATAAAGAAAATTAAAAGCCTAAGTTCTAGTAGCAACAGAGATAGGGAGAGATGATAAAGCATTTCGCAGAGATCATTGCAACCTAGAAAAAATACGTAGGGTGTGGAAGGAGCTATAGGAATCTAATGCATTATGTAATAATAGGGTATTTTTAGATATGGATTATGAGTAAATAAAATATAGTTTTTTTATCATAATTTTATATTAAAAAATAAAATTTAACGTTAATTTATTAACGGTTTAATTAAATTCATTTACTTGTTTTAAATTAATTTTAACTTCAACATTTTTTTATATACATTTATAATTAAAAGATATTTTTTTTGTTAATATGTGTTTTTAGAAAAAAAAAACCCATTATAATAATATAATGTTGATTATTTTGCATTAGTAATGTGGTCCCAAACAAAACGAAGGTAGAGAGAGTCCTATTTGGCTTGTGAGGAAAGTGAAAACGAGAGACAACCTGCTCCGAAGGTGGGAGTATCTTTTGCATCTACGAAGATCTACTAGCTAGCACCTTAAAGCTGCAACTGGCCTGGCCTATTTTGTTCTTAAACTACATTGCTGCAAATATCGAGTTTACTGCAGGTAAAATCACTCTCGTCCTGCAGTTACGTCTCTCTCCTTTCGAAGTAATATTTTAAAGATATTTTAACCACATGCGTTACTTTGTTTGAATTCATAACCAAAACTTGACATATCAAAGTAATGCATGCGCCATTGCAATTTAAAAGTTGAAATCACAAACAGCTACTTGAAAAAGGAATTTGCACTCCATGCATAGAGCCATATGATACCCACTTAGAAAGCTAACAGTAATGTTAAAGTATTTGTTTGGCTATGCTTTTAAAAGGGTTTCTCAGTGGGGCTAAACCCCAAATTCGAAGAAAATCAAACAAGAAACGAGAATGACCTCGAAATATGATATGATAGAATTACCTCATAAATTAATCGAAAGGGGGGTGATGCGACCTCACTGAATTTCAGTATCCTACAAAAACTGCACCAAATTGAATGCAGCTCCCTGCGGCTTCCCTCCAGCTTTTTTCTCCCCGCTTTCTGTTGGGTTCAATCACCGCATTCTGCCTTGCCTGGTATGGGAAAAGAACAAGTATGGAGAATGGAAGATGATGTTTGGTGATCTTTGTTTCTTTCTTTTATAAAACCTGTAGAAAAAGAAAAGGCTCCCAAAAGAGGACTCAGAACACTGTTGCCCCATTTCATCGAACAGGTCTAGGAAACGACAGACATTTCAAACAAAGCACTTTTTCCCACTGTTCCTGCCGTGCCTTCTCTTCCTCTTCCGACTTTGTCTAGATTCTGATCAAATGGGACCCAAAAAGGTTCCTGGCCCCTTTATTCTGGTCTATGTTGGTTCTGGCTCTGGACAAATCTTAATGGATGTGCTTTCACTTTGCCTTTACTCAAACCCACCCAACAGGATATTAGGATCTGCCTGCACTTTCTGCAACTCAAACCCACCCAATCAAGATGGTGATTATCCCAATTGGCAATTAGAATAATGTATGGTATAATTTGATTCTATGATTCCAGTGCCTCTTATCATCATGCCTGACGATTGATTTTCTCTACTCTTTTTTTTGTCAATGAATAAGGTTATTGATTTAGTCTTCCTCAATATAATTTTATACATAGGATATAGGATGTATAAAAGCACAATAAATAACATACAACTTTAAAACTATGTTATTTCAATCTCTAACTCCTTGACCAATTGATGTGAGGTCGTAAGTCGTCTTTGGGTTAGGCTTTTTCAATATTAAATTTTGGTTTAATTTAAAATTTTGATCTTTCAGAACTGATATAACTTTCTTTCTACTCAAGTTATGAAAATCTTATTATAAAGGTAGAAAATCAAGCTATTTTTATAATAAAAATATGAAAATCATGATATTCTGATGCTTAATTATAATTATCCGTTGAGTGGACTCTATCTTTATAATCCACCCGAACGAATGGTTAGAATGAATATCTTGAGTGTTAAAACGTCCTAAGGTTTCATTTTTATAATTAAAATACTAAAAGAAAAAATAATAAATATAATATTATTAATAAATCAGTATATAAAAAATTTTTAATAAAAATATTTAAATAATTTTATAGATGACAGATGCCTTAATTTTACTTTTCTCAATATTATAAGTTTAACCACAGTGCCTGTTGAATACTTGAATTCGCCCACCAAAAAAAACTTTTACACCTTTGGGCTATGCTGAGTGCTTGCCCAATATAAAAGTAACAGAAAAGCCCAAAAAGTTTTCTTGGGCCTGGACATGTTGACTTCTTTTCCTCCATTCCGATATTTCTTAACAGAAACGGACTAGTCCAACCACAATTCCCCCAACCTTCGGATCTTCAGACGTCCTATGTTGGAATGTTTCTTTCAACAGTTTTAGTGCTTTCATCTTCCTCCACTAACAACGCTTAATCTTCTCCACACTCTTGCTCAATCTTCTTCTTCACAAACCCAACTGCACATTCTCTTCTCTCATGTCAGGTTTAGCTTCTAGACCAGAATGGGTGTAAGTGGAAAATCACGCAGCAACAAGCGATCCTCTTCGCATGCTTCCACCATAACCACCGTCATCTTTATAGCATTATGCGTTCTAGCAGTATGGATGCTTACCTCCAACTCCGTCACGCCTCCGCAGACCACCACTGCTCACACGACCACTGCTATTGACACCACCACCAACAATGCCTTCTTATCTTCAAACGAACAACCAAAAGGGGAAGAGAAACCCGTTTTTGAAGATAATCCCGGCACCCTTCCCGACGATGCCATCAAACCAGATGACAATAAATCCCACAGTGACCATCAGAAAGACAAAGCAATCGGTAGGGTCAGTGAGTCCGAGGGTGTGGTGAGAGAAGAGCATGCCCAAGGTTTTCAAGGTGGGGAATCAACAAAAGAGCAGGAGAACCAGAAAGATGATCATCAGTTATCGGAGGAAAGCATACTGACTCAAAATCAGCAATCTGCGCAAACTAGCCAGGAACAATCCCAGAGTGAAGAAATCCTGCAACTAAAAAGTGAGGAAACAAACAGAAATAAAGATGAACAGAGTACGGAACAGCAACAGGATGAGAACCATACTGAGTCACTGAATCAAATATCAGAAGAAAATCAACAACTAGGCAAGCAACAAGAGCTGGAAAACGATGAAGGGACGAAGGATTCTAAAAACAAGAAATTGAAAGACGATAAGAAGCAGCATCGACGACAAAAGCAGCATCAAATAACAGAAGAAGGTGAACAAAAGAGAATTGAACAACAGACTCTGGAACGACAACCAACACAAGAGATTTCTGCCACCACGTTTCCCGATGAAACCCGAGACGCACAGACAGAGTTGGCAGGCGTTAAACAGTCTGGTAGCCAGAGAACATCCGTGTTACCCGCACACGACCATGATTTTCTGCAACAACAGACAAGTGATAAAGAGACCAAAAACCAGGGTCCAAATCCAGAAACCCAAAAGCGTAACCCTCTAAAGGAAGAGAAATCAACGGAGTCAAACACCGGCAAGTCATTAGCATCGGGAATACCAAAAGAGTCAACGGAGTCGAAGAAGTCCTGGGCGACTCAGGCCACTCAGTCAAAGAATGAGAAAGAGAGACAGAAAGATGATGAATCAGGCGGTGGACAGAGCATGTTCGGGTACACATGGCAGCTGTGCAATGTGACTGCAGGTCCTGATTACATCCCTTGTTTGGACAACGAGATGGCGTTGAGACATTTGCACAACACTAAACATTTCGAGCACCGTGAGCGGCACTGCCCTGAGGAAGGGCCACCGTGCTTGGTTCCAGTACCCCAGTTATACAAAAGGTCCTTCAAGTGGCCTGAGAGCAGAGACAAGGTAAGATCAAACCTGAGTCGTATGATGGGATTGTCTGGTGGTTGTAACCTATATATCTTCTCTGGTATCGCAGATATGGTACCATAATGTTCCACACACGAAGCTGGCTGTGGTGAAGGGGCACCAGAACTGGGTTAAAGTAAGTGGTGAGTTGATAACGTTCCCTGGTGGTGGCACCCAGTTCATCCATGGTGCTCTCCATTACATTGATTTTCTTCAAGAGGTTAGTCCCCCATCCTGACCTTCCATCCATAGAGGAGTTTAATTGAGATTTAAAAGATTATTGTTACTGGTTGCAGTCTGTGTCCGGAATTGGATGGGGAAAGCACACTAGAGTTATCCTGGATGTAGGCTGTGGTGTTGCCAGCTTTGGTGGTTATCTCTTTGAAAGAGATGTTCTTACAATGTCATTCGCACCGAAAGATGAGCACGAGGCTCAGGTACAGTTTGCACTTGAAAGAGGAATTCCTGCATTATCTGCCGTCATGGGTTCCCAGCGTTTGCCTTTCCCGAGCAGGGTCTTTGATCTTGTGCACTGTGCGCGTTGCAGAGTGCCTTGGCACAATGAAGGTTCTAACAATGACTCATGTTCTAAGTTTTAGCTCTGCGTTCCTCCTGTTTATGGGTAAAAAACAATTGGATGTTTCTTACAGGTGGTCTGCTTCTGCTAGAACTGAATCGTGTTCTAAGACCAGGAGGCTACTTTGTCTGGTCAGCAACACCTGTCTACCAGAAACTTAAACAGGATGTCGAAATCTGGGAAGGTATGCAAGACAAAAGATGTGCTTCATTTGATCATTGTTGGATTTTCATGGAGCTGACGTGTAGTGATTTCAATTTTCCAGCAATGACATCACTGACTGCGTCAATGTGTTGGGAGCTGGTGACCATCAGGAAGGACGAATTGAATTCTGTTGGAGCAGCTATCTATCGTAAACCCACTTCAAATGAATGCTATGGTAAAAGACAGGAGAAGATTCCTCCAATGTGTAAGAGCGATGATGATCCAAATGCTGCCTGGTAAGTTTCTACAGATGTTTTCTAACGTTCGAGAGCACAGTTTTGATCTTAGGATGGAATATACTTTCAGGTATGTACCTCTGCAGGCATGCATGCACCGCGTGCCTGTTGATAAGGCTGAGAGAGGGACAAGATGGCCAATGAATTGGCCGCAGCGACTGAAGAAACCTCCTTACTGGTTGAACAGCTCTCAGATGGGAATTTATGGTAAACCAGCTCCCCAAGATTTTGCAACAGATTATGAACACTGGAAAGGAGTGGTGAGCAATTTATATATGAGTGGACTGGGTATCGACTGGTCTGAAGTAAGGAACATCATGGACATGAGAGCTGTTTATGGAGGGTAAAACAAAATCTCATATAAGAAAGCATAACTTATATAGGACATACCAGAGTAATGCTTGTGGGTGTCTGCAGGTTTGCAGCAGCTTTGAGGGAGCTTAAAGCGTGGGTCTTAAATGTGGTGAACATAGATTCTCCCGACACCCTTCCCATAATCTATGAGCGAGGTCTTTTTGGGATATACCACGACTGGTGTGAGTCCTTCAGCACATACCCAAGATCATACGACCTCCTGCATGCAGATCATCTTTTCTCTAAGCTTAAAAAGAGGTAGCGAAGTAGCAGGCTATGTCCCTTTCATTTTTACTCTCTTTTCAGTCTTGATGGTTAAAGCTTGATGACTACTTGAACTTGTTTGGCTTTCACAGGTGCAAACTTGTTCCTGTGATGGCAGAGGTTGATAGAATGCTCAGACCTGGAGGGAAATTGATTGTGCGCGATGAATCCACCAGTATTGGTGAAGTTGAAATCTTGTTGAAGTCTCTGCACTGGGAGGTTCATTTCACCTTTTCCAAAGACAAAGAAGGAATACTCAGTGCCCAGAAAGGTGATTGGCGGCCAGATACTTACCAAGCTTCCTCATAGCCCTTGTGAGAACAGGAATGAACTGCTATTGCCTGCCTACACAACATTTCAGCAAATCATATATGAAAGTGGCATTATCATCAGTATAACATATATAATACCTTCTGTTATTGCTGCTTGAATGTTAAACACTGAGCCTGAGGAGTACGATAAGTACTGTAACTGGCCAAAACAGCCAGAATATTTCCTTACAACCCTAAATGCAAGTACAATAGTCTTTCAGCCAAAAATTTCCCTTTGAATTATGATCATGTTTTGTAGGAAGATTCAATCTCAAAAATCTTCTATCAGCCTTACCCTACTAACCATATAACATTTGGCCATGAGCATACTAAAAACCTGATAATGCCTAAAGGTTGTTCAAATGTAATAATTTACCTCAATCAATAATCTATATAATCCCACCAGAATATACATTCAATGACATACAAACAAGTAAAAAAGTGATTGCTTGCACAGATACAGACAGAGACACATCAAACTTTATAGACTAAACCCATCATTTTCATTATGAGCGAACAGAGTCATACATAACATGATTTTCTGTTATACAATAGCAGTAAACATAATCTGACCAAAAATTTACTTCACTGAGGCTCATGCTACAATTCATTCTATCACATCCCCATATGCCAATTCACTTCAAATCAAGTACTACCAAGAAGTTTCTGCAACTCACCACTCTGCACCGAATCCTTGAGATCTAAATTGCAAAAGTCACACGGTGAGTAAACTAAAATCAAATATTGCAAAATAAAAGAAAGCAGGAGAGAAAGCAAAGGAAAATAGCAGTAACCATCAGAGCCACCAATATGCTTCCCATTCACAAATACTTGAGGAACAGTGTGACGTCCCACCAAATCCAGAAGAACATACTGGATTTCAGTTCCATCATCTGCACCAAACCAAAGAGGTCAGAACCATTTCAAACCGTTTTCCCATACCTTCATACCTATCTATCTATAGCCTACAAACCAGCTAATTGAACAATGAGATTGCAAAAAATCAGAATGTCCTGACAATTAAAATACTAGAAATGATAATAATAATAATAATAAAACAACCTTAAATATATGAACAATTTCACATGGACGCCCTATTCTCACTTTTCTCTTAAACAATAATAACCAATATATACCTCTGAGATCAAGCTCTACAACATAAGGATGCTGATGCAGATCACTGAATATGCGCTTGGCACGCTTGCAATACCTAAGCAACACGATAGAAACAAAATACAATAATTTATTCAGATTAAATCATTCATGGAAAAGATTGACTACAGGAATGATAAACTGATTATCAATCGATTTCAATGGTAATAGTACATGAGCCTGTTTCCTGACTCTGAATTGTGAAAAACGAAGATGAATCTGAAATTACAAAGACTCACGGGCAGTAGGATTTGGAGAAAATGACGATCCTATTGGAGAAGATGGCGTTCTGCACAAACGCCGAGGCTGAATTGACGGCTTTGGCTCCCCTTGGTGCAGTTTCCGCCGACAGCAACAGCGCCAATATCAGACTAAGAAATATGAATCTGGATTGCATCTTCGTCTTCTACAGGGGGTAGAACTGGCTTCGCGCGTCAAATGAAACCCTGGAAATTTATATAGTTCTGGACCAGATTAATGGGCCAAGAGCCAATTTGGTTGGGCTATATACACTTTCACAGTTTCACCCCGAATGAGGAGATTTCAGAATTTAGAAACGAAAAGGGGAAATGACATATGCCTCCCTAGTTGTTTGATGTCATTGCACTTTACTCCCAAAACATAAAATTGTGCATAGACTCGTGTCATTCACACAAATGTGTTTCAACTAATGTCATTCCAAATTATTTTAAAGAAATTGTAATTCAAAATTAGAGATGAAAAAGTAAAAATAGCCTCAAATATAGCCAAAAGAATTTAAAAGTAATGAGAGTATTTTAAATTTTGAAAAATTATTGTATAATTTAGATTACATAACTTAAATTATTAAATGAAGAATAAATTCTTAATTTTGAAAGTTATTCTTCTAAATAATTCATAATTTACAATTTCATATAATATAAACTATAAAATTCGATTCTCTTTAGACTTTTATCCTCAAAGTTTAAGGGTGTGGTTGGATTGGGATGAGCAAGCACATTTCCCTCAAATTAAACGGGATGCATGTGCACATTTGTATATTTTTGGGGGCAAAGTACACTCAACTCAAACAATAAGGAGGCCTTGTGCAGTTTTCCCAACATTGAAAATTCATTTTCGGAAGATGAAACGGAAGAGAGTTCTTGCCAAAAAACATGAATCCTTTGTCATTTCAAGATAAATCATCATAAAATCCGTTCACATTAGAAGTTATTGTTTACAAGTAATCAAGGGGACTTGGATATTGAATTCTTGGAATCAGATTTGTAAAGCTTGTTATATGCCTCAAGCTCATCGTAATACACATCCCAAACGCATCGAACGCATCCGCTCCCACAACAATCCCCGGGCTCCGGCTTTTCCGGCGGCGGAGGAGGAGCAGGAGGAGGAGGCGAGGATCTATTAACAGATTCCTCTTTCTCTTGTTTCTCCTCCTCCCTTTCCTTTTTTGTTGACTGATGCAATTGATCGTTCTTCGTCGCCATGGATTTTGACCTTGGTTTGTAGAGGAGTCGTGGATCTTGAATTCGCCGGCTCTTGATGATAATTATATCTGCAAAGACTCGCCTAAGTGTCGGATTCAGATCTCTCATGTCCCAGCCGACGCCGATTCTGGCATTCTTCCGCTTCGATTGGGTTGCCGGCAATCCAGGTTATGTATAAAAGAATACGGAAGAGAGCATGCGTTGTTGTTCATGCTGTAAGCTGAGGTTGGTAAAAGGTTGGGGTTAGGCACGCGCGCAGCCGTGTCCATACGTAAATTGCCAGCTGTGTGAAAAAGAGATCCGTGCGGGAACTTTCCGCTAAAGATTTGACTTCAAATTTTTCTAGAAAGTTTTAAATAAGAAAATGATTTGATGTTTTGTTGATTAGATTGTAAAATATTATTTATTA